TACTGTATTGTAACGATTTAGTTTAAGACTTTTATTTTTTGGTTAATTAAATATCTTAGTATCGTGATTGAAAAAAGTCACTATATGAGGTTGGAGTATTCTATACATATTGATTATATGTAAGCACCAAACATGTAATTAAGCATTCATTGCTTAGCATGTCACTTATCAGATCAAATATCGCAAAATCACAGAATCAGATTATGTTTTATTTATATAATTATCTATACGTAACAATATTAGGATCGATGGTCCTTTCGGTCCGTCCCAAAAAAGACAGGACCGGCCCGGTTCTAGGACGGACCGGCGGTCCGTCGGTTTGCGTAGGACCACTTAACATCCCTAGGTAAGCCTACATAAAAACAAATTCAATTATAAATGAAAACGTTATAATTATTTGTGAGAAAATTATATATTCAAAGAAAAGATATTCACTTTTAATTCTCTTACTTTATTAGTAACGCACGTATATCCATTTTAATTTCCTATTTTTCAAACGTAGACATATGGGCGGATTTATGTGACTGATCTGCAATATGTGATAATACAAAATCTAATAGTAAATTAACGTTTTTTATTGGATATCAAATTGTAAAATTTCCTTTTATAGGGAACCGTTAAAGCCAGTTACCATTACAAAATTTAATTAAAAAATTATTAACGTTAAGGTTAGGGTCAGATTAGGGTCTGTATGGGCTAAGGTCAGAAGATTCTTATAGGTAAAATCGTTCCCCCGACATTTTTTCTTAATAAATCAAGATAGGTTTAGACATTCGTTTCTTGTATTTTTTGCATTTTTTACTTTCTTTTCTTCGTCGGGCTGATCTGTGTAAACAAAAAATTCGCGACTTTGATTGGTCGCATGCAATGAAAAATCTCGTGAGGTACCTGGCTTTAACGGATCCCTAATTTAAGTAGTCTATCCAAAGGTTCTATATTATTTGCCATACCTGTACCCCAACTAGGGAGTACCCATTTAAACTATCTAGTTCTAACTATTTCCATCAGCTCTCTAACCCGAAGGGTTTCCTCACTAAACTAAGTAGATATTAGTATCACCCCACATTGGCTTTTGCACCCTGCCTTAGGACTTACTAACCTGTATAGGCCTAGTCTATCCTTGAGGTAAACCTAACACAGCAGTACATGTCTCACACATGTAATTACATGCTTGTTCCTATAACTTCTTTCTAATTAGTACATATTGATCTGCTGTTCTGTATTTGTATCTCATGCCACCTTTTGGAGTGCTGCTATTCTATGGACATTTCTCAAGCACCAACTTTCCTAATTAGGTGCCTATTATATACTCCTTGCCAGTGTTGGGTTGGACATTGAACATGTCCAATGTCCAGTCCATGTCTAGTCCATGTCTAGTCCATGTCCAGTCCAATCCATTGGTTGGATATTGGCATTGTGTAATATTAGATTAGTATATAGTTATGTGATAATTAACTAATCAAATAATATTTTTATATTATAATATTTATAATTAATATATACTGATAGATATAAAGTTTAAGTGTATATGCATTATTCAATACAGGTGTATTATTTTGATCGTAATACATATCAAATAATCTTCAGAGCTATTAATGGCTTATTCTGAAGCCAGTTTTAGCTACAACTGAATAGGCTTTTAAATTCATAGCACTAAACTGTGGATTAGGCCATAGTTATTGAAGTCATGACTTGTGTCATGGCTAGAGTATGACTTGAGCCATAACTCAAACTGTGGTAGATTACTGTACTGATACAGTACTGCAGTATTATTATATAGCTATAGTAATAATGATTTTAAGGCAATATAGTATTTAAAGAAGCCATACAAGTATTAACGTCACTAAAAATCTTTAATAGGATGAAATTGGTCTACAAAATTCTTTGTCATATTGTCAGGTTTTCACAATATTTTTTTATTTAATCAATTGGACATTATAAATCAATATATTAATTAATTTCTCGTTTAAATTTTTATTCGTATTGGTTTAAAATTCTCTCAAGCACATAATTAATAGATTGAAGCTCAATTTCTAATTTGTGGAAAGAAGTTTAACTGGCAAGTAGGTTCATTATCTCAATAAAAAAAAAGGCTGAGATTCATTTTTAAACCAGTCGAAAATTTATAATTATATTAACCTTTTTAATAGCAGCACCTGTTTTTATAATATTTATGTTATAAATATCTAATTTATATCTGGTCCCTTTTTTAAATTGTTTGCTAAGGTTTATTGGTTGACACTAAACACCAAGCATGTTGAACAAGCGTTAAAAGAAAATCTAATAATATTGACATTTTGTTATTATTTTTATTATATAATAGATTATACCGAAATCACTAACTTAACCGAATTGGCCAAACGATTATTTGGCTAATTTTTATCAGGCATTTCAGGAATTATGATAATAGCTATAATAGGTGCGCTTACAAGAACACTTTCTTGGCTTTTTTGAGTCTTATAATATGATTTGATTTATAAAAACTAACCATCTGGATATTTATTAATCTGGCTTTTTTTAAAATCCAGATATTGGTTAAAAAATTTGAATTAATATTCAGATAAAATTATTGAGTATTCATTGAACATTCGATGATGACATATTATAATTCACACTTTGATTCTTTTTTTTATTTTAATTAAAGACCGAATTGATGGAAAAGCATTTAGCAGATGTGCTTTGTAAGTATACTATACAATTTTGCGTTCAGATAGATTAAAATTTATAGTCAATAATTTGTATTTTCAGAAATAAGAAACATAAATCAATGCAAATAAGAAATTAATAATAGTTACATAGATTATTTAAAATAATGACTAAATTAACTTGAATAAAAGATTGTTCATCAACCAAATCAGTACAGACGATAAACTAAAAAACTAATAAGATGTATATGCATTGCTTTTGAATACTTTGATAACAAATTATTTTATACTTTTTGGTTAAATTAACCTAAATAAGTGACTTTATAATCTTACCAAAATTGAATAAATTAAAGACTGCAAAATTTTTTTGTCATATTTTAGACTATACTTACTGACTAATTTAATATAAGCATAAAGAAATGACTTACTTTAAATATATCCACAATTATAATCATTCACCAAATCAAATAAAATTTGCAATAACGGGAATAAGAGATTATATGAAAGTCCAAAGGGCCTTATATAGCCAGAGATTTATTGCTTATTTTCTCGCAGTGAAAAATGAGGATGCTTGGATCATAGATATTTTACTTCCTCTTACTATATAATTTGGTCATCTGACTATTCAGATCTTCTATAATTTCTAAATTATATATATAAAAAATAAACTTCTAAAAAATTTTATTGTATAATAGCACTTGAATTGTTTAAAGGAGGTTAGAAATAAGTATTAAAGTCTTGTAACTTTAGTAAATTTTAATTATAAATAGTTTCAATATAATAATATTGAAAATAAAAAGTTTTTTTTTTATTAGACATATTGGACATAGACATATATCCAAGTATATGTCCAATGTCCAGTCCAGTCCAATAGCACTAAAATTAGTTGGACATATGTCCAAGGCCAACACTGCTCCTTGCCCTTGTTTTGGTTCTTAGCAACCCCAGTATCTCGCATTTAGACCATCTTCTTACCTGGATTCTTTATCGGTCCCTCTCTTACTTCCAGCCAGCAACCCAGAAGAGTCAGTCTGCTCAGGCTTTAGGTGTCTAAAGGATGCCCTCCTCTTGGTCCATGCTTTTAGAGCGTATGTCCTTTTCCTCTGGTGTGATAACTCAGCGGTTTGGCTGGTATGTCTTTTGCTATTAGGACATAATTGCTCGGCTCTCTGATCTTGGGCCCCGGTTTGAATTCAGCCCTCCTGTAGTACTGTCATAGATCACTACTACCTCCAAACTCAGAACTTGCCAAATAGGTTTTGGTTATTCCGTTCCTCAGATTTATTGCACCAAAGCTCTTATAACTAGATGGTATAACAGAAATTACAGATTTCTAAATCTAACCAATAATCGACAACTATAAACTGTAACACAGGCTATTTTTCAAAATTCATTGTCCATGGGATTTGAACTCTAAACCTGCTACTTAGAAAGGGTGACGACTAGACTACTACACTAAATCACCACACCTCATACTGAACAAGATATAGAAGCATAAAAAGGTTATCTTAATAAAATTTAAAGATATTTGCATTTTTTCACTTTTTTCACTTATTTTTTACATTTTATTATGTTAATATCTTTTTTATTTTTAATTAAACTTGTTTAGTATTAAATTTTGCATATAATTGCAAAAAATTTTAACTATTTTCTTAATTTTTTATAAGTTAGTTTAATCTGAAAAAAATTAATAAAATTTTGTTTATTTTTTTAAAAATAATAATCTGCAAAATTAGCCAATCATATTAAGGTGTGATATATAACTATAATGCAGAGATGCAAAGCATATTAAACTTTATAAAATATTCATTTTATAAAATAATATACTTTATTAAAAAAAATCTTAATATAAAATTATAAATAATATACTGTATAAGAAATATTTAAAGGGCATTATTTTATGGCGACCCCACAATTGACCAATCAAAATTGATCACGTGAATAGCGTGACCACCGATTTGCGAAGAGCAAATCGGTGAACACGTGACTCACGGGACCGATTTCGATCGGTCGATCATCACAAAAATATGTGTAACAAAATGAATGACAAAAAAAAAAGTGAATTTATTACTGGGGAAACCCCAAAATTTATTATTTTTTTTTCAAAAAAAAATCATCAATACATCATTTTAATTTATTTATTAAATTGGTATGGTATTACCACATTATAATATTATAAGCTCTATACACTTTATTTATAAAAAAAAAAAAAAAAGCTAATCAAAAAATACTTCAATAATTGTACCACAATAACTTTATGACTAAACAGCCCCACACACCCATAACAGAGCCCCCAACAATAGCAAAATTGCTATGAGCAACAATCTTCCAACCCAAACAGCTTCTTTAATTGTTCTAACCTGATTTTTCACAAAGATAAAACGAAAATGCCAGAAACCTAATATAACAAAAAAAAAAAAAAAAAAAAGCAAAATCACCAATGTTAAGACGTATACAATGTTAAGACGCAAGAAAGTATCAAAGCAAAGAAGCAAGCACTGAAGCATGCAAAAACGCACCGAAGCACAGGTACTGAAATACTGATGCAAGAAAGCACTGAAGCATAGTCCATGTATAGCCTACTACTGCTAACGCTTTCCATTCTTAACAAAGCCGATTTCAAATATAAAGACCTAAAAAAAAAAAGAGAAAAGTTAGTGACAGTAACAAAAAAGAAGAAAAAAAAAAATTGACCAATACTTATCAAAATCAGTCTAAAGAAATCCAAACGAAGAAGCACTCAAAAAAAGAAAAACCGGCCCGGTTCCATTTCACATCTCAGCTTCTGGTTTCGAACGAAGAAATATCTAAAGGAAGAGAAAATTAGTGCCAGTAAAAAAAAAAAAACTAGTAGAAAAAAAAAAAAAAAGGCTGTTACTAATCTAAAAACCAGCCCAATACAAGAAAGCATCGAAGCAAAAGCACCAAAGCAAAGATGCAAGAAAATATCTCATGTATAGTCTACTGCTAATGCTTTTCCATTCTCAACAAAGCCGCTTTCAAACGTAAAGAAAGATTTAAAAAAAAAAAAAAGTTAGTGTTGGTAACAAAAAAGAAGAAAAAAAAAATAAATTGTGATACTTATAAAGAAAATCTAAATGAAGAAGTGCCCAAAAAAAGAAAACCGGCCCAGTTCCATTTTACATCTCAGCTCCTGGTTTTGAATGAAGAAATATCTAAAGGAAAAGAAATTAGTGCTAGTAAAAAAAAAAAAAAACAACCAGTAAAAAAAAAAAAAATGGCCGGTACTTGTTTAAAGACTAGTCCAGTCCCAGTCCTATTTCGCATCTCAGCCCAAGCAAACTTAAAGTTAAGGCAGTATTCTTATATAGTGCTACTGCTAATACTTTTCCATTCCCAGAACCAAGGTAGTCGACGTAGTGCTACTGCTAACACTTTTTCATTCTCAGAACCAAGGTAGTCGATGTAGTATTTTCACAAAGCCGATTTTGAAAGTAAAGACCTAAAAAAAGAGAGAAAAGTTAGTAATGGCAAACAAAAAAGAAAAATAAAAATAGTTCAATACTTATCTAAAGTGACCTAAAAAAATCCAAAGCCCAGCACATGAACAAAGCGAAGAAAAAAACATTAAAAAGAGAAAATACAAGAAAACAAAAAAAAAAAATCTAGATTTATCTGTAGATCTAAATCAGATCGGAATCTGGTACCCTGGAGACAAGATCACCAATCTTAAATATGATTGGCTGATCATATAGGGGTCGCATAGCGATGTGTCGCTATTTTATTTTTGCTATATTTATAATATAAATTAAATTTACCAAAATACTAAAATATATATATATATATATTTAACATTCGGCAATTATGCTACAATTTTATTAGGCTTTGTACTAATTACTCTAAACTAGTAAAATTTTACAAAAGAAATTACTGGGTGAGTAATAAACTCTAAACAAGTCAGCAAAATATTATATAAGAACTATCTTTAAACGACAAATGCTTCTCATAAGGTAATTTCAAGTATATCTAAATTACAAATTTGTGACTAACTGGTTATCCTAATTAGTACTTATATTCAACTTGCTATAGCAAGATTTTCCTTCTTCCAGACTTCTCCTGCAATTGAATATGACTTGGCTCTCAATAGTGGACCTTGCTGCACATCATGACTATCTCCTCTTTTTTCAGACTTCTTCTACCTAAGCTCGACAAAATAATTAAACCATTATTCATATATAAAAGTAAAAAAATAAAGCCATGTTTATGAAAAACATAAACATTTTAAAAAAAAAACACCTCAGCAATAAAAAAAACAAAAACCAAACTAAAATTCCTAAAATAATCTAACATAAATAAACAAAGATGAAAAAAGTGAAAAAAAAAGAAAGTAGCCATAACACAATATTATAGCCCTTGCTAGGCATAAAAATAAAAATTATATAATAATTGCAATTAATTACTATATCTCGATTGTAAAATCTTCAGTTTAATTTTGGGACTCGTTTCAGGCATTGACTTGACTTGGGTATCTCCTAAATATGGGTAATGATCTCTTCCTTATACTATAGCACCATATTAATAAACAAAACAAACACATGGTTGTATTCTACTGAGTTCATCCGAATTAGGTAGGTGTAAACACTGCCGATCTTTTGGAGGGGGTAAGCTAAAATACCTACTTTTTTGTCAAAATTTTTGGTGAGAATGGCAAAAAGTGAAAAATACAAAAAAGACTACTAGCACATATTTAAATAAGTATGAGTTTTATAGACATTAACAGGTATTTCACAAGTTGGCACAGTACATAGTTTTTTTGGTAAGTGATAAACTCTGGGCTTGTTAGCAGATAGCATATAAAAACAATCTCTAAACAACAAGTGTCATACTGACATAAGTGATAAACTTAAGCTTGTTGGCAGGTAGCATATGAGAACTACTTCTAAATAACAAGTGCAATTCTTTTTATGCTTTTTTCCTATGTTTTGCATTTTTCTTGTAGTACGTTACTGTTTTTTAGTTAAAAAATTTTTAGAAAATATGGTTCAAATGATATTAGAAAGAGTTGTGAATAGAACTACATTAGGAAATTTTTAAATAGGGTGGATATTGATTACCAGCTTCAGAGGCAATTGCCATTGATTAGAAAAATCGATAATAATCGATATTGGTAGCTAATCAATTAAAAAAACAATCGATTTTAGTATAATTTTGATATCAATCAATTTCAATCAAAGTGATTCTAATCAATTTTAATTAGCAGCTTTGTTGTCAATCGATTCTAATCAGTATCACTAGTAATCGGCAGAGATGCTACTTACCGATTGATATTTCTTTCTGTCAATCGATTGGCAACTAATTTAAAATCTTCCTGATGTATAGTGAATACTAAAATATTATTCTAGATAGCTAGGTATGTACTATATTATATAACAAATATTAACTTTTATAAAAAAGAAAACTTATTTAAGAGTAGAATCTTTATATAACAAAATAAGCTCTAAATTAATAAAACCTATTTTTAATTAGATAATATATAGATTATTTATTATTTTGGCTAAAATAAGCCCTAAATTACAGAACATAAAGGAAATAAAGACTCTATCTTTGAAGTATTTATTTTAATATTGCTATCAAAATTTGCTTTTATATAATTTGTATTATATATATAAAAAAATCTTTTAATAAGTTAATAACTACTTAATAAATATAATAAAATTTTTTATTTTAATTTTATAGTTTTTATAGAAAACCCTGAAAATTATGGAAGTAAGTGATCTAGTGATATAAAAATAAAAATAGCTAGTGAGTAATATATCGTATAATCTATATAGAAGTCTATAATAAAATATAGCAAAAGCATGGGTTCTGGGTTACTAGCTTGTAATAGTGATTAAATGATGTACATAACTTCTGTCCTAAGAATTTAGACTTCTATAACACTAATAGAGAGTACTATAAAAGGATTAGTAGTCTAATTTGGTAATATAAGATGCGAATATCTAGATCGATGTAAATAATATCCTAGTTTGGCAACAAATAACTGTTTGAGATATGGCTAGACTCTTAAAGTAACTCTTCTAGAAACACCAAACTGGAAGTATGAAGAGCACTTACTCGAAAAACATCAATTTGAAAGTAATACAAGTACTAAATTAGGAGTAATGTGATAAGTGATGAGAGATAGAAGTTGGTTAGTGGATATTATACAGTAGTATATAAGCAGGATATATATGATAATATAGGTTTGAGAACCATTTAGTGATTTAGTAATTGGTCTGGTTGTAGGGTGGTTATTAAAGAGGTAAAATCCCATATAGCAAATTGCATATAGGTACTAATTTAGTAACTAAATAAGCTGATACTCATAATATACATTAGAAAGTTGTAATTGTATATGTGATATTTGTAACCAAAATACCTTAGCATTAATCTAATAAATGGTATTGGCAAGACTGCTAAATTTATAAAAAAAATATATAGTTTTTATATAATTAAATAAAAAATATATATTAGAATAAACAATTTTTTTTAATAATTACTTAACCCAAATTTTTCTATAAATAAAAGGTTTTTTTTTTTACTAAAGAGTTGTCTGCATTTTTGGGTGTAATAAATTAACAACTAAGCAATTTTTATAAAATTAATCTTTCTTTATTTAGGTAACTTCTTTATATATTTAATATGCAAGCTAAAAGCATCCTTATACAAAATAACTGGCAGGAGATAGTATCCTTGTATATAAAATTTTAGTAGAAATAGACATTTTTCTGTTAATAAAATTTTCTGTTGCAAAATAATAAAAAACAGTAAAGAAATAAAATTTTCTTAAGTATACTCTTTTTATTCATTTAAGTAGTTTTTATATTACTTACTTTTGTTTCTTATTAACTTTTCAAATTTTTTTTATAAAAAATAAGAATTTGGCATATTCTTTTTAAAAAATTAACATTGTTTACTTTTCTAATTCAAACAAACTTAGTAGATTGTAACTGCATGTCTTGTTTATTTATAGACATGAATTAAGATTTTAGATTAAAGAGGTATTCAAAGGCAGTCATTTAATCAGAGAAAACCAACCTATTAAAGCAAAGCTTTATAGCAGAATATACAAATATTGTATTTGTTATATAATTTTTATTTTATCTAGTATAAATTGTAGTAGTGTGTTTATTATAGATTGTTTTTTCTTATTTTTTTTTGCATTTTTCTTCTTTAATTCTTTTTTTTTATTTGTTTGTTACTTGGTTTTCATTTAGCTATTGTTATATTTTTTTTATTTGTTTGTTACTTGGTTTTCATTTAGCTATTGTTATATTTTTTTATTTTGAAAAACTTCACTTCTTTTTTTCTTTTGTTTGAAAGTTTTTTTCATAAAGTAGATAGAAGTTGGTTTTTTTTATTTGGAAAGTTAGAAGAAGGTTTAGAAAAAAAAAAGTAAAGACAATTATAATAAGCTAGAATAAAAAAACCTTCTTGTATTGTAATATATTAAATTTTTTGATTGCAAAAAACTTAGTATAGAGAAAACAGTTTACTATAGCAGATCAAACATAAATAATTTGATTATTTGTTGCAAAAAGCTAAATTAGTTGATACTTGGAATCTTATTTAGTATAGGTGGGAATATATAAATATTATCCC